TGCACACGCGACGGAAGCTTAAAAAATGGAGTAACTTCTCCCGTTTTCCCAACATTTCCCTTCACTACTCTGCTCCTATTAATTGTAGCATGATGAAAAGTATACTATAACCTGCCCAGGAGTATGAGGAATAATTGTACCAAGTTTCGTTAAAATCCGTCGAGTAGTTTTTGTTTCTATAAGGAACATACAAACAGACAGACAGACAAAAATTTTACTGATTGCATTTTTGGCATCAGTATCGATCACTAATCACCCCCTGATAATTATTTTAAAAATATATTTCATGTACAGAATTGACATCTCTACAGATTTATTATAAGTATAGATTTATTACCAAAATACAGTAAATGGCGGACTAAAATTAAATGCTATAGGCATTCTCTACCAGTATGGGTGTATGAGACGGATGTTTTGGATATAGAGTGCGAGCTTTTAAAGTTAAAAAGGTTTTATCTCTTCCCTTTTATAATTTATTGTGTATAATGAGCGTTAGTAAAAAGATGTTTGTTCCTTTCTAATCAGGGTATGACCAAGTATAATAACTCCGTTAGTTCCGTTCCGAATAGTTCCGTTGTGATGAACACCAGTTCATCACAACGGAACTTTTCCAAACAAATTATTAAATATTATTACTTTCACACTTGCCTTTTCTGACCGTACAGTATTTAACGAAATGAAAAACATTTATTTAGTCCGTTTGTATATCTGCATTCCGTCTTATCGCATTAATATAATCCTTTTAGCGCGGCTGCTAGCCGAAACAAAACTCTTTTATTTGAACCATAAAAGTCAGATCTAAATGTCATTTCATTCACTGAAGTAAGCCATCAGTTCGCCGGAAAATATTTCACCGACTTGTTAGCAAAACGACTGAATTGTTTTTAACAAGGTAGGTACTTAATTTTTAATAGTAGAGAAAAGGTTGTTTTGACTTAATTTTGCCAGGAGTATATTTTCAGTCTCTTATTGATTTTAATAAAGAACTTCTTAAGTTCTTACTTAGTAGTTCATCACAGCTGAGGTCTTATAAAATTCAGTTGCGAAATAACAGTTCTGGAAGGGCGAAGCATTGCACCAATGAGTAAAGATTAAATGACCTTTCCACAAGCCCAAATTTCTTACCCTATGAAGCTCAGGAAATTTACTAAAGATATTTTTGCTATCTTCCAAAACGTGACTTTCCAAAATGTTAAAATCTCCTAGAACGAAATGAAACGGAAACTGTGATAGCATATTTTACCCTGCCAGAATACCGAAGTCGCTCTGACGTTTGATGATCAAAACATATTGAGCACATATCTATGGAACTTGGTATCCTCTTCAACAGTAATATTTTTTATCTGACTAGAAAGCTTTTCTTATTTTTAATAACAGCTAGTATGGCGCTTGTCTCGATTTGTAGTCGGTTTGGAGTAATAATGAAATTGAATAGTTTTAAATTAATTGTTATCTGATATCGAATTAAAGGTTTTATGAGGGTTTACCACCATCGAATATTAGTTTTCAAGGGAATAAAAATACCGCTATAATCATTATCATCACTCCTCATAATCGTACTCTGCTAAACGTAGGCCTCTTTAATGTATTATAGATATTAACGGGATTGTTACCATGTACCTTGTTTTTTATGAGTCTCCGATATTTCAGCACTGTTGCAAGCGCCATGATCACGGAGTAACTGAAGTAAATGTCAAAGGAGTGACAGTAAAGATCTCTAACATACTTAATAAGTACTCACTGAATACTGTCTTCACTCCTTTACAAAAAGTATCACAGATTCTACGGTCTCCTAAAGATAACTTCCCCTTGGAGAAACCTGGTGTATACAAGATCGACTGCAGCTGTGGTAGTTCTTATATTGGCCAAACGAAGCGGACAATAGCGTGCCGAATGAAAGAACACATTAAAGCAGTCAGAAATAATGATACGCAAAAATCAGCAATCGCGGAACATTTAATTGATTCGGGTCCTAATCACTGGATTGAGCTCCATAATCCACAAATTATCTTGACAGAACGCCACTACATACCAAGATTGGTCAGGGAAGCGATTGAAATAACCAAACACAAGAATTTCAATCGTGAGGATGGGTTTAAATTGTCTAGTGTGTGGAATCCAGTGGTTCGTATGTGTAAAAACCGCAAAAATCAAAAAAGTGTCGTCCCGCGATCTGATACTGTGAGTATTGTGTGCCGGGAACAAATGCGAGTGAATAGTGAGAATGTGACCAATGGTAGTGGTAGTATCGAACGCAGTAAAAGACGACGTCAGAGGGTAGACCGATATGTCTGCCAATAACATCTACCCGCAATTACTTCAGTTACTCCGTGATCATGGCGCTTGCAACAGTGCCGAAATATCGGAGACTCATAAAAAACAAGGTACATGGTAACAATCCCGTTAATATCTATAATGTAAGTGACCATGAAAGTTTAAAACTCTTTAATGTAGCCCCACTTTTGAGTGATAATATTTGATTACAATATAAATAAAGAACAGTTTGTTAGAATACCAATATTGTTTATTAGAATAGAAAAGAAAATAAATATATTTTATTAAACCTCATTTACAGATACAAATTCAAAAATCTCAGGCCTAACCAGGACCCTGCCATAGCATTAGCTGATGCGACATTGTATCGCACCAGCGCTGTTATTCTGTGTTTTTATCTTCATTTTTATATTCTAACGCCATTCAAGAACATTGCGGGAGTAGTAAAGCCCTCGTGTCTGCGTAGCCTAAAAACCATACTATTTATATTATATGCGCACGAGTGCCCACAACAGTACATCGTCCCGTCTAACACGTGCAGTAGTGTTGGACAATAGCATCTTCTGCAGCGTGGTGATTTTTTATCAATATGTATTTGTAGTTTTCTCTCGATCTCACGTGATGAGATTGGATACGTTCACGTAGAAACCACGCACTTTATTCATACCGTAGTCAGGTAAGTCTTCGAGTGCATTTTCTACTTTACTAGCTTTAATTGGTACGTACGTACCCAGAGATAGTACAATAATCTGTCCCTCAGTAATTTTAAGAAAGCTTGGTATCTCGTTTGCCGCTATTTTCACAAAATCAACCCTTCGTCTATTAACCATTTCCTCTCTATATAATTGTATGAGAAATTCTGAATGCTGTCATTTTAAAATTGCTACAGCGATTTTCGAGTCATAAAACATATTCGGCAGTTTTTTTTTATACATATTTATTTCTTAGGGTTTCACGCACATCACTCATTAAATAAAATAAGTACATCTTACCAATTGAAACGTGTTTTATTGATATATTTTTTTTGTTATACCAAGTCCGTCATATTCAAGGTGATAACTCCGAACTGACTAAGAATTTGTAAAAGTTTATTTAATATTGTTCCCATTGAAAAGACCTTTTCCATGTCACTAAAATTATTGTTGTTGGAGGGATATACCAAATTGCCCATCATCCTTTTGCTACTATCAGTATATATCTGTATTGTTCGTAAGGCAAAGATGACTTAATAGTTATGTGTAAGGACAATACAATCTTTCCCTCTCTCTCATAGTGATTCCAATGAAGGCCAAATATGGTATCAGTGTAAATGATGTTCACACCAAATGAGTATTATCTTATACTGGTCGTCCTGAACTTCGATGTTCTTATAACCCCGTAATGAATACTATGACATAGATGTTGTACATATATATATGTAATGTATGATACTCAGCCATGGTGAATATACTAAACGAACCCCAAACTGGCCAATAGTATTCCAGCATAACGTCAGTATTCCATACATTTATTCGTGTCTCTCGTGTCGGTGTATTGACACGCCCTGTTCAATCGACTCAACCCTTGTAGGTGTACAGTGAAAACCTTGAAGTTGATACAATAAGATGCCAAAAACACCTTTAACCCCTGGTTATAAAAGTGAGTCGTAGTAAAGTTGTAGCTGCAGCTAAGACCGTGTTTGTAAGAAGTTATTACAAAAACGTGACTGCAACATCTTTATCATAGAACAAGGTCTTAAAACGTTTATTTAAATAAATACTGAGCGGCATTATCCTGAGGGAATCTTCGGAAACCAGCAGCTTGAACTTGGTTAGTTATGTTTTGTGATTGATGTGGTTTCAGATAAATTTTTTGCACGTTTCAAAACTCTTTAACCAAACAGAAGAGTTTTAAAAACTATTTGTCGCGTCATAGGCCGACAAGAGGATGGACAGGAGATTTTAACATTTTGGCATTTTTTAGCTAGAGCTCAAATGCCAAAAATCGCGAGACTTAACTTAGTCAAGTGAAATATCCTAGTACAACTAGTTTTGTTACGTAAGCTGGCCCAATGCAAGCCCAACAGTGGGGGAAAATCGGCGGAGGGGAAAGCTTTGAATGCCTTATTCCCTACTGACCGCATCGGCCGTGTCGTTCTATGGCTGACGTCTAATAATCGGTAAAAGGAAAGAAATATTTACGAACTCTTTGTTTATTTCCATGAAAGTGCTTGACTTCGCGAATACATACCGAACGCTATAACCACGTTGTACGCCCGCTTCTTACCTCTCACGTCCAGGTCATTTCAAACTCTTCCTTCTCTGTTAAAGGCTGATAAGCTGCGCGAAGTATCACCATGATCAGGAAATGGAAGTCCTTATTAATCCAAAGAGTTACACCAAAAGCGTGATGATAAAATAGCCTCACGGAAACTCGGAGTCCGGAACTGAACAATTCACAATGGTCGTTTACTCAATCAACTGTTCTTTTTGTACAAGACGCAAGTGCGGTCTTGCGTGGAATATTGCTCGATCCTCGGGGATGGCTCCGCCAAGCACTTACTCGATGTTTAAGATAGGTTACAGCAGCGCAAAGAAGTTGAAGAACAACTACAGCGTGATGTGGCGTCTTTATAGGTAGTTTATTGTACTTTTTATTTGGTCTGAGTATCTAATACGGCAAAATTATGAGGGGTAATTCTAGCAAAGGATATGGGGATTTTATATACAATAATCGAACTTCATCAACAGTCAAGAATGGTTTAATAGTCGTCCTCGGGCTCCTCCTCGGAGGTGCTGCTGGGCTCCTCGCTGGTAGAGGACGAGGTCGCATTGTACGCCCACGCCTCCACCTGCAGCTGATACTGGTGGCTGAATGTGATCAGCGGGATGCGAACCTGGGACAAATGGTACAGACAATGCAAAAAAGGACATATTTAAATGATCATCAAAAAAATTTAAATTGATACTCAAATAACTAAAATCATTAAGTTTTTAAAGATCATTTAAATACCTAATACCCAAAAAAAAATACTTTCCTTCAGAGGACCACGCGCGTTGGCCTATGTTGTCACCGACTGACTGTGGCCAACGGTATTCCAACGTGAACAAATAGATTTGGTGCCTAGTTTCTTTGTCGTAGTATTCACAAATGGAATGCTTTTACCGGTTATGTATTCCCTACCTCCTACAACCCGGGATTCTTTAAAAGAAGAAGTAACATGAAGGCGACAAGGTTAGGATGGCTGGTGAGTTCGATGAACTGGACTGCGCCAGCTATCTTCGCGTCTGGACACCTCCGTCACATAACATCAGGCGAAGTAGAGTAATTTGTCCGTCCTATATAAAGAAAAAAGACAACAAAATCCTTGAGCAGTACTCTTCGGGTCTTTAAAGTCTTTATAATGTAAAGTTACTCAACACTCAAACCACTGCACTATGAAACATTACCTTCACAACTGGTGTGTCCAGCTCCCACACCCTGGGCTTGCCGAGTTGATAAGGCATGCCGACTTTCACGCAAATCACTATAGTCCCGTGGGCAGCATCTATCTATAGAGAAGAAGCGAATTCTCAAATCAGATATTTTTTTGTGATGCACAGATTACATGGGTGTTAAGAGAAAAATAAATTCTACAGCCGTGAGTACGCAATGTTTTTATACCTATTTTTATGCTTAATTTGGTCTGAAGAGGTTTGTTTTGCACAGATTTGATCTTAATGGTGGCTATGAGAGCAAGAACCTTCTTACCTCTAGATAGTAGCTTATGTAAATAAATGTGATCGGCTTCAGTGAGAATATCTCGTGGAAGAACTTGAAGATGTCGTCTGCCGCCTTGCCTCGGTCAAAGTAGCGCAAATTCGATGTTAAGGGTGGTTATGAGAGGTATATCCTGGCCCCCAGATAGTTGCATATGTAAGTTTTGATCTTAAGTTACTATGATAGGAAGAACCATTAAACCACCAGATATTATTTAAGTTAATGAGGCTGGCTTCAAGAAGAATATTTCGGGTTAGAACTTGAATATGTCGTCATGTATTGGTGATAAGAGGTAGAACCTTCATACCTCCCGATAGTTGCTCATCTCATGTAAGTGAAATATGTCGGCTTCAAGGAAATACCCTGTTATAGACTTTTAAGATATTGTTGTGTAGTGGTGACGTGTCCTAGATCCTATATACCTCCAGATAGTAGCTCATATAAGTGAAGGTAGTTGGCTTCAAAGAGAATATCTCGTGGTAGAACTTGAATATGTCGTCGGCCGCCTCGCCGCGGTCGTAGCAGCGCAGCCCGCCCATCCACCAGTGGCCCAGCCAGCCGTGCCCCAACTGGTCGTAGATGGAGGCGCGGGGCATTATGAATCCTACAGAGATTAAACAAGATTAGACGTTATTTCTTTTTGGAATAGGTATGTATCCTGTTGTTCGTAGATACTGAGAGAAGTAGGGTACTAGGGCAAAACTTGGAATGGAGCGCCCATCTGTGGAAGTAGCCTCCACCTTATGCTGATCAGAGTAAAATAACACTACCTTTTGACGGTACTGTATCGGTGACTAAAATTCCAGGGCTCCGCGGGGTATGTGATAGGATCAGGGTAGGTGACGGCGTGAATATCAGTCTCAGCTCTGTTATCGCAAGCGTGTATAGGTTATGGAGGCTCTAGTAGTTGTCGTGGGGGGAAAGACAGAATCAGAATCAAACATTGTCACTTGTTAAATTTCACCCTTAACATACACTAATGGCTAATATAAAGCATTTTCAAATAAAATCCTCGAACGAGAACGATCTCAGGCTTGCGGGGAGCCTGCATATTTTACCGCCAGCGTATCTACCATACAACGATGGATTTCCTCCACATAAAAATAAAAACCTTAATAAATTTAAGTTTACCAAAAGGATCGTCCTTTGCGAATGCTCCCACAGCTTTTCCCGTGATGGCGGCGGTGATCCACGGCACGTAGGGGTGGATGAGGATGTGGCGCGGCGGGGCGGGGGGGCGCCTGGCCCTCAACGGATCAGGGCACGGGAACCCTCCTGGAATGAAATGAGGTTGGAACAGGTTTCGAGATATAGTGTATGGAAAAGATGATCACTAATCAGTCAAGCTTCATGTCTTAGCGGCGGCGTGGAAGGATATCTGGCTCGCGGCGGGTCGGAGCAAGGGAAACCTCCTGGAAGAAAATTAGTTTGAAACTGGAAAACTTTGGCTTCTTCTATGGAAGAGATCCTACTGTTCGTATAGTTCTATTAGTATGACTAAACGGATAAAAATATCCGTTAATTTCTACTGGTAGAACTAAACGATAGAACTATACGGATAGAATCGAAAGATGATCAGTGTTGCAAGACATATTTGAAAGGGAGATAAGGTATAGCGGACTTTTTTCTAGGGAAGAAAACCTCCACCTTAGAAAATATCACAGTAATAATGGGAACCCTCCTAAAATATAATGAGGTTGAAGCAGGATTCACGATTTGTGGCTTTTTCTATGAAGCTTGCATATCAGTCTAGCAAGACATATTTTTAAAAAAGGATATTTTTCTCATCATCGTCATCAGCCTATTAATGACTGTACTATGGAGGTAGAACGGCATGACTTGCGCCCGCAAGGAAGACCATAGATGAACTGAAAAGATGATGTGAAGAAGATTGCATCCTCGTATTAGTTACGGTGGGCACAATGCCGCAGTGAATGGAAATTGTTGAGGGAGGCCTACACCAAGATGGTTGAAAAACAAGGCTGAAGAAAAAGATGTAATAATTATTCTCACCTTGTGACAAAGCCACTATGGACCAGTGGCCGGTGTGCTCGTGCACCAAACTGGGTGCCCCGGAGTGGAACCCGCACCCCGTCGTGCAAGCCATGCGACGTGGAACTTTGCCTGTTGCATTCTGATTACAGAAATAATTTATTTTCTATCAATTTATAATAATTATTATTGGTGAGTAATGTGCCAAGGCTCCACAGGGCCTACCCCATAGGAACGGCGCGAGTGACATATTTGACATCGCAAGCGATATAGACTATGGTGCCGTTTACCATCAGGCGGGTCATATGGTTGTTAATAATGTTTCCCTTGCCGTGCTTTGTAATCCACAGTGTATAAGAATTATTAATAACAAAGAGCACGGTAAATATGGTTTACGCACAAGTCGATTTTCGGTATGTCAATATTTCGGTCACCACTGGAATAGAGTCCCCAAGTTTTTCCAGTTTCTTTTGACAATGAGTCCTTTCTTGCCCAATGTCAATATTCTAGGTCAACGGAAAGTATCTTTTACATTTTCAATCCCCCAACGAACGTCAATATACATAATAATATTAAACCTCGAAAATACAGCATTCCATTTTAACGTTATACTCTTCTATATAGGGAAAGTTCTGTACTTACAGTTAGGCAATCATATATACAATCGTCGGTACTTCGAAGACATACATATCTTAATTACAAACCCATCACAATGCATGTAGGAAGAAATGTCTGTATGATTGAGCCACATAGATCAACCCTTGCTCGCCAAACGTTCTATATCAGTGCTTCTCAGCTTTATAACTTGGCAAATAAATACAATAATGTTTATCCACTTACATATATTAAGTGTAAAGAAAAACTCAGGGACTGGCTTAAAAGCTGAACTATATGGAGACGGAAAATCTTCTATCTATCGTTGCATAAATCACCCATATGCGCTATGTTGCTCTGCCACACATGAGAACAAATATGCATAATCATATATCACATACAGTACACTCACTAACATACACCGTACACACCCAAAAAAAACACACACACAACAAATTTATATAGAATTATTTATTTCAATTTAAATGTTTTCATATTTTTGGTTAATTAGGTACTTTAGATGGTTTCAATAAGGTTAATTTTTGTGCATCTCCATGACAAATTTATATCATGGAAGGAGTCGCTGACGGTTGTGACACAGTTAATACTAGTACAGCCGTCAACGAACCTCTTATATGTGAAATATATTTAAGATTTAATTCCTCTAATTAGTATATAAGAACAATTGTAACTTTTAAGATAAGTAAACCATTATTATTATTATAATATGTAGTATAACGGAACATTAATATTTTTTGTAGATCGTAGACTTGAGAATTTATAACTTATTTCAGAGTGTTGTCCACCACTCCACATTCCTGACAAAAGGAAAGACGACGGACAGATATTTTAGAGTATGGGTTTTTTCTTTAATGGTACCTACTTAACTCGAAAACATTAACATAAAGATTTGATATGACGGCCCTAAATCGCTTACCTCAGGGTTATCGTACAAGTAACATAGTTCCCTTGGTAGGAGTCTGATTCGAGTGACTTCCTTCTCTTCCTCTATAAAGTCTCTCGGTACATCTATAAATAAAAATAAAAACTGTAAAAATACTCGATCATACAAATACGGTCAGGTAAATACAAAGAACATTCATATAAGGTAGCCAACAAGCATATAACACCCAGCAATCCGCACTGGGCCATCGTGATGGTCATGGCCCAATCTCCCTGGTCCATTCATAGGGAAGGCCTGTTCCCGAGCAGTGGGAACATTAATAGGCTGATGCTGCTGTTGGTGAAAAATGCACATGGGCCAATTATGGGAAAGCAGCCATCATATCCCTAAAAGTTTACGTTATCAGAGAATAACTCAAGCGATTTCTACCCTGACTATATCTTCTAGCCCTTGTAAACGCTCATCGACCGACGGAGACACAATCTCATCAAAAGGTAGTGTTATCTCACTGTTCTTCTGTAAAGTAGAGGTTACTTGTTCTCTTCTATTTCTAGACTACCGCGGCATTCGTGATAGACCTTTCTCATTCCTAAGATATGGATCCATCGCTACAAGAAAGCCCGTCGTCTATTGGTATCTTATCTACTTATCAATTAAACCAGAAATTAGAAAAACTTGATCTTCCAAGGTTCCGCTTAGATCTTCCACCTTTGGTGACACTTCCTACGAGCATTCATCCTATTATTTTAATACATTTAAAACAGTCCACACGTCACAATCAAGAGTCATCCATACTGAACAATTGATTAATGCTTTAAAAGTTAAGAACTTTTCTTTTAAAATATGAAAACTTAACAGTATTGTTACGTGTCGGGATAGGGTTTTGAAATTAAAAGTCCAGTTCAATTCAAAGGACTTCGTAGAACCTACTTATACGCAGGTAACGCGCATGAGTTGTAAATAAGCGTCGATGTTGCACTTTCACCCTTACGGCGCGCATCATATGGCTTATATTAGAATGAACCGCACCACTCGACTTTTGTCGAAATCATTCACGTAGCGACCTGCCGCGCTTCGGTCAAATCTGCTTCCAGTAATTTCGCGGCTTTGGTTCGAGTGCGTTTGTGATATAATTTAGGGTGCTTTTTACCACTAGCGAAGTCGACGTGGTACAATCGGTCCTTGGTCTGCCGCCCGTTCCGAAGCATCAGGTGATTCTTGAAAGGCAGGCAAGCTGGCAACATGTACTCTAAAACGAAAAATCTAAGGATAATTAGATATAGCAGAGGACAAGATAAGTATGGCAAATGATGATGGTAACGGGGTATTATAGTTTTAAGAAGTTTACGATACCAAGGCGAGCAGTGCCTGCCCACCTCCGTGAAACTCTGGAAACCACTGCGGAAATAAAGGACTAAATAATAAAATTATGTTATTTGGCTGTAAGATTTCTTTGTAATCTCCTCAGATGGGTGCTCCAAATCGAGTCCGAAAACCGCTGAGCCCTTTCTCTCTTGCATGATTGTTTTATGTTAACTTGATGGTGGAATAAGAGTCTATGGTCCGTATTACAGAATGACAACTAAGTGTCGATCTATACTTGAGTACAGTTAGAAAGGGATATCGCTATGTGCTATATATAGCGACATCCCTTTCTAACTATGCTCAAGACTAGATTAATCACTGTGAATCTTTCTATTATACAGGCCTAAATAATTCTTAAATTTAATTGATCTGATTTGAAGCTTAGTCAGTTTCATATACTGAAACTGATTGGTCCAAATGTAAGGCTGTTCTGGACTCCAAAGGATTTTTACTCTAGGTGCACTAATACGTCGGATAAGCAGGTAGATCTGCAGGATGGCGGGATCACAGCCAATCGATTTTGTTTCTTATGTGAAAAGCTTGCACACAAGCATAATACCTACCGACAAGCGGCCACTTTGGGCTAAAGCCTATAGACGCTTTCGAATCCAGACCAAGAAATTCATACTCTAGGCCCTGCCAGAATTATCAGCGCTGCAGCAGCCCTGGTGTTGCTGTAGTATTAAGCTGAGGCAGGGACCTAGTTTGCCTGTCTTGCTGTGTTCTGTTTTTATAAATATGTGTTTAAGGTCAATAAAATTCCTTTCTTCTTCTTCTACTCTATCTCTGGTAAGATATTATAAGCTTCTAAGTAAACGTGCAACGTTGAAGCCTCATCTTATCTCTACCTAGGCGTACTCACTCGATTTGATTGGCGTGATCAGTTTCAATATAGCCAGGCTGTTCTTGGCTCCGAAGTGCTTATACTCTGGGTGCAGCAACACGTCAGCTATAGGCATCAGCAGGATGGCAGGGTCGCACTCGGCTCCTCTCGACAGCTCCTCGACAGTCAACCGGCACTCCACCTCGTCACGCTCGTAATCACCGAAGGCTACATTTCCTCTGTAAAATCGTGTCTTTTTTAATTTTTTTTATGTATTTCCAACATACACCAATTAGCCTAGCCCCAAAGTAAGCACTAAGGTAACGAATAGAATACATATACAGTACATATATAAGTATATTTATATAGAAATACATATTAAGAGCCCTTTCACATTTTTTGCAAAAAATCGTAAATTTTGAGCGCCTTGTTTACCCACTTAGAAAATATTTTTATTATTTCCAATAGAATGAAACGGTACATTTTTTCTTCTTATTGTAAGTTAATGTAGAATATTAATTGCAAATGCTATTTTCCTTTTTTTGTACTGATCGTTATACCGCAGCTAGTTTATGGAAAAAACTTTAATATGCATAACTTCTAACGCCTAATTCTCTAAATAATCTTCAATAAAATAGATCAAATTAATTACTACGACATTAAAAATATGTTCTTGTTGTAACATAATGTATTATAATTTTAATTTTACATCTCATTAATTATAAAAAAAAACATCTAACCTCCGTGAGTTTTCCCAAAAAACAATGCAGGTTTACCTCGTATTTTGATATTGAATTAAATAGAATTACTATCAAAAACTATCATAAAACTAATTTACCATCATTGAACTACTGAAATATGTATATATTTTTATAATCAGTTCATTAATAATTATTTTATAAGACTCGAAACATCACCCGTAAAATGCAATATATACCAGTGCAAATCTACCTACGCGCCGATCAGTACGGCAGCGGCGCAATTTTGTAAAAGGGCTCTTAAACATCCATGACTGAAGTACAAATGCTCGTGTTCATCACACAAACATCTGCCCCTACCGGGACCTCTAGAGTCGGCGACACCATGAAACCCGGCGTACAAACCACTCGACCACAGAGGTCGTCACTTTCAGCCAAATACAGTCAAACTTAAATACAATAATTGACAGAGTAATTCCTAATGACAATGAACACAGCATGCAAAACTAAATATCAACAGTACATTATGAAATAATGAAAGCAAATCATTATAAAATTATCTAATTAAAATAGACAGAATATTTCTTCTTTACTGTGGTGGTTTTCTCAATTATAAGTCTATAATTTTTATTATTTTTAAAGCATGTAACTGCTTGATGTTTAAATCTAAAGAAAATATAACTAGAAAAAATTCCACGCGGACCAGGCAGCAGACGGGACTCGAACCCGCACCCTTCGCAATCCGGGCGAATGCACTGACCAATTATGCTACCGCGGCCCTCACGCCCTCAGGGCCGCGGTAGCATAATTGGTCAGTGCATTCGCCCGGATTGCGAAGGGTGCGGGTTCGAGTCCCGTCTGCTGCCTGGTCCGCGTGGAATTTTTTCTAGTTATATTTTCTTTAGAATTATAAGTCTCTTAGGCTAGTTCTGTGTATGGAGGATGTAGGGCAAGAATGCTTCCAATGTTTTCGTGTTTATGAATACCTATTTTATTTACAAACGACAAATTAGAGGTTTGCTCCACTAAGGTATCCCTCGCGGATTCTTTGATCACAGCTTGATTAATATGATAGGACTTCTAAATTCAATTTATTTTTAATTTAGGTTTGTATTTAATAGAGCCTTTGCTCCAACAGACTCACTTTTTTGTGATTTTGGACAATTTCTTGCAACAGGGAAAACCAATTGTATTCCATTGCGGTTTCATGTTCCAGTCTGAACATAATATTTTTATAGGTTCAAGAATTAATCTGAATTCGAATAAAATAAATATATTTAACAATTATTTTATTACGTTTAGTATTTTCCATTCCAAAAAATAACGTATAACTTAACTCATATAGAAAATATCTTCATTAACATTAGATATCCAAAGATCACACTAATATTATAAAGGCGAAAGTTTGTGAGTGTGTCTGTTTGTCACTTCTTCACGTCTAAACAGCTGGAGCGATTTTAATAAAATTTGGTATGGAGTTAGGTGATACCTTGGATTAACACATAGGCTACGTTTTACTGCGGGAAAGTATCCCTAATAAACCGTGGGTAACACCGCGGGGCACAGCTAGTAAAATATACGAACGAAACTCGATACAAGACCTAACTTAATATAATTTGTCTCGTAGAGTGGGCTTACGTATATGATATAGTCGCGTAATTATACACTATTTCTTTGAAACTGTAGTACAAAATCAAAAGTCTTTACCGAGTCCTTTTTATTTCGAAAGTATATCTTGAGTCCTTATTTTTTTTTTAAATTTGAAAGTGTGATATTGCAGACCAGTGTGTTTCATATATTTTCAACTTACAGGGCATATCCGTCCGGTATTTGTGCCGCATCAACCGCGGTGGACAGAACGAACTGCCGCGTGATCAGCACCACCCGCGGCACTCGGAAGTAGTGGGGGGTGCCGTTCTTTACTGCCACAATTTTTCCACAAATATTAGGTTAAGGTAGCAGCAAACATCTTTGAGCAAAACCAAACTACAGACAAATTAATTAGCGCAGTAGTCGTTTTTGTTAATAAAATTGCTACTGCGCAGGATTCTCAGGAAGTTAACCGGGGTAAGATGAATAAAGGAAATGCCCTTTATAATTAATATTTTAGCAGTTGAATGCTCAAAAATAAAAATATAATAATTTAAAGAAAAGGCTGTTATTTAAAAAAATACTAGAATCACTAAACGCACTTCTCTTTCTTTATTTTCTTAATCCACTTCTCGAGTCCTTATTGCGCCGTGGACAGACCCGTCTTTCCCAGTGGGCACTTTGGGCAAGTGCCCAGAGCCCCGCGACCGATAGGGGGCTCCCTCAGATCAAATACAAAGTCCCTAGTTCCTGTTAAATCACCAAACGGAAGTCATAGGGGCCCCATTATCCTAATATGCCCAGGGCCTCCAATAGGTCAAAGACGGCACTGGCTGAGGAAGGTGTTTTGCCCGCGTCAATCCTGCTAGTCTAGCCCTATCATAAAAGCCACCTTGTAAGTAAATACGTATAGTACAAACATCATTAATATTTAACTAAATTACTACACAACGCAACGTTGCGATCAATGGCTTAGCTAATTGTTCTGTAGTCATTTTATTGAATTAATGAGTTGCCTAGGTGTCCAATTGGCTATTCCATTCCGCGTGTATCTCCCGCTGATTCGGCCTGCATAATCAGGATAATTAGTGAGGTCATGGGTGGAAGGTTGGGTTTGTGGGTGTATAAACTGCTTGTCACTTCGAGGATTACGACTGAAACCCTCCGGCTCCATCACAAACATTATACGTCATCATCATCACCAGCCTATTAATGTCCCCACTGCTGGGGCACAGGCCTTCCCTACGAATGGAAGAGGGAGTTTTGGGCCATGACCACCACGCGGGCCCAGTGCGGATTGGTGGTTGCTAACGACTGCAGATGCAGCCGGGACCAACGGCTTGACGTGCCTTCCGAAGCACGGAGGAGCTCGAGATAGTAAATTTTTAGTCACCCATGCAATGACAACGTATTACTCAAACTCAAACTCAAAATAACTTTATTTAAATGGACTTTGGCAAGTACTTTTAAATCGTCAACTCCCTACCACAGTTTCGAGATGAAATAATTATTTCACTTAAATACCTAATTATTATGCTGCTTTGTCGGAGAAGAAGCGACGAAAGAAACTCCACAGCTTACAATTTCGTACTGATCTTACAACATCATTACAGGTCAATAGTTACATCAAAAAATAATAATTAAGGTACTAAAAGTACAGTTTTAGATGCGTAAATTTTGGGCAGATTTTACTCCCACGCATTTTTATCATTCAAATAGTCATTAATTTTATAATAAGCTTTTTTATATAATTTAGCTTTTAAAGTTGTTTTAAATTTATTAATAGGCAAATCTCTCATACTATTTGGAAGCTTATTGTAAAAACGTATACATTGGCCCACAAAGGAATTGTTTATTCTGTGGAGACGAGTCTTATGTACAACCAAATCGTGTTTTTTCCTAGTATTAACATTATGTGTATCACATTTCTCAGAAAAATGTATAATATTTTTCTTTACATATAGTAAGTTGTCCAATATATATTGTGATGCTACAGTTAGAATATTTATCTCCTTGAACTTTTCTCTCATTCACTTGCAATGCCAGGTCGCTTTTATGATAGGGCTGGACTGGCAGGATTGACACTGGCTAAACATCTTCCACGGCGCCAAAAGACGTTACAAAGAAGTAAGAAAGACTAGGGCGATGAGTGATTCTAGTATTTTTAATAACAGCCTTTTCTTCAGATTGTTATATTTTAATTTTTGAGCATTTAACTGCGAAATGTTTAAATTTGAAAAGCATTTTCTTTACGAATTTTACCATGTATGTACTGTAGCGCTCCTAGCCATGTGAACTGCAGTTCTGACAGGGCGCCCTCCTGGGGATCGAAGCTGGGGTCGTCGTGGCACTCGAAGAACTGACAGTAAACTGCCGGTACCGCTGACGAAAGAAACATACATACCTATAATAACACAATGCTATATATACAGGGTGTAAAAAATCCTTTAAGGAAGTCGAAGGATACGTATTTTCCACATCATGACAATCATTTATTTCTTCTGGACCATACCTGGGAAATTTTAGGTTATGGAGATATTGGAGGTAAAAGTTTTTTTTCAAGATTTATACAGTAACTAGCAAACCAGTGAACCAAATGTTCACCAAAACCTGATTTCTCGAAAACCGGAAGTGCTACGTTACTCAAATCCGGTTTGTAGTCTTATCAGACTATTCTTAACTTATAACTTAAATATTCTCTTTATCTATCTCTTACGGTTTGGTCGCTAAAACAGCACCACAGACGGACGGACTTGTCTAATAGATAAGAGATATTTTCAAAACGTTATTTAGAAACTTTTTTATCGGCGTACTTGCAGACACGCACACTGCCAGAATTATCAGCGCTGCAGCAGCCCTGGTGTTGCTGTAGTATTAAGCTGAGGCTGGGACCTAGTTATCCTATTTTGTCTTGTTTTATTTATGTAAATATGACTATGTTTAAGGCTAATAAATTTATTTCTATTCTATTTCTATTTTTACATACACAGAGGCACATTCTTTGCATAGCGCCACAGTAGCACGCCGCTCTATGTACATTGCATACTGGAAAAATATTTTGTATTTTTTTTAAATAAAAATACAAATGATTATTTCGTATAATATTTTGTAATATTACCTACTTGTTTGGGTATGCAGAATGCGTAGTTTTAGTCTTTGTCATAGGCTTTTTACACCCTGTACATTAGTTTTAACTTCTTATAAGAGCATCAGGTTAAAAATTAATTTAAATAGTTAAAATAAATATATTATTAGGCGTCTCCGCGTTGTCCTAATTGGCAAAGATCGTACGATGACACGATGCTTTCTCGTCGCGCGTGGGATGACTTTCAAAGATACATATTTCTTCAGATGAGTCGTTATTACAGCACAGGCATTGTTTAATGACGATCGTACGATCGATTTAATTGTACAATTATGTAATGAAATACACTGCGCAAACAATTACGATAGAGAAAGATCAGGAAACCGTACATATGCACCCAGGCTTAATATCGTTGGTCTAAATGTCTAAAACCATCTTCGCATTATTATTATTATATTGCCTTTGACATAAAAAGTTGTTAGGTCAAATCTGTTGGATGGATGGTTTCGTAGTATAAGTAGAAACAATTTGTCTTTTAAATATTTAGCTAATGCGATATTAGCATGCTGGCATAAAAACACCTTGTTTTTGATATAAATAATATAATCCAAACTTACAAGATATCAAGACAAGTGCACTGAATATAGGCCACATTTAGGTCAATTCTTCTCAAATGGATGTTGAATCACTGCCGAGATTCACCTGAATGCGTTGAATCACAGATCTTATGTTTTGCGATTGAAGAATGTGCATCCAAAATATCGGCACTTACTGGGAAACTGAGTGCGTGGGCGCATAATTCTGTTTTGTACGACGACCTTCGTGGTGGAGTGGCTTATAAATTTCCATGAGTCGAATATGATGAACCTAGTGTATCATCCTCAATTCTCGCTGCTGGTGTACAGGCCTTCCCTATGGATAGAACAAGGGGATTAGATCATGGCATGACTCACCACGCGGGACCAGTGCTAATTGGTGTGTGCTAACGACTGCCAGTGCAGCCGAGATCAACGGCTCAAAGTGCCTTCCGAAGAACGTATGAGCGTATGAGAACGTATTAATTTTTGGTCACCCGATGGGTGGATGACCGGCCATGGCGAAAGTTGCTTAACTTCCACTTTCTAAGAAGAGCTCTTTGAAGTGAAAAGGCAAACAAGCCCGCCTAATGGTATAAGGGGCAATCATAACCCAAGCGAGGACTTTGGGATTTACTTGGAGTCCAACCTTGTACTTGGTGAAGTACTCCCACTATACCTGCTCTTTATATAGGGTCGAAGTCGAACGTCTAGGGTATCATCATCATCATCAGCCTATTAATGTCCCCACTGCTGGGGCACAGGCCTTCTCTATGGATGGAATAGGGAGATTAGGCCATGCTCCACCACTCGTGCCCAGTGCCGATTGGCGGGTACTAACGACTGCAGATGCAACCGGGACCAACGGATTACCGTGCATTCCGAAGCACGGAGGAGCTCGAGATAGTAAATTTTTGGTCACCCATCCAATGATCGACCACAACGAAAGTTGCTTAACTCTAACGATCGCAGCCGAACGCGCTAACCTCCTGCGCTATCGAACTCCTCCTCGTCTAGGGTAGCAAAGAAAAACTTCAACAATCGGCCATGACTTTTGGCCTCGTCCAAATTGTCAGTCTTTTGAATGGGAATTACTGGACGGTTCACGTAACATCCCTTCCCAATGTCTGACGCTCTCGAATTTTAAAGAATACAATCTCATTTAAACAATCTTTATATATAAAACTCAAAGGTGACTGACTGACATAGTGATCTATCAACGCACAGCCCAAACCACTGGACGGATCGGGCTGAAATATGGCATGCAGGTAGATGTTATGACGTAGGCATCCGCTAAGAAAGGATTTTGATCAATTCTACCCTAAAGGGAATAAAATAGGGAATGAAAGTTTGTATGAAACTTTGTCAATTTTAAACCGATCGGGCTGAGGCATGCAGGTATAAGAAGAATCATAAATGAATGTCATCGTGTATAATACAAGCCTGAGAACAAAAACTGTAGTCTACACTTCAGCTCTACACCGAAGCGAAGCGAGGGTGGGCCGCTAGTAAAATATATATGTATATATACATTTAAAACACTATTTTATATGAACGAAGAGAATATTTAAATTAACATTATAAGGCCGGATATAATTTGCCATTCTCACGGCGTAGCATCGGAATATTATATCCCGTTACATAGGAGCGATTGTGATGCAATTTATTTGAAATAAGCCATCACATTACATCTGTCATTCGCATGCTTGTGATTTGCGAACCATTTGCCAGATCGTATTGTTCTCGCACTTAAAATTCGTATAATGTAAACTTGTAGGGTTGTAGCTTGTTAGATACTGGTGACGATTCTGCCATGATTCTCTTAACCTAAACTTAAATTTGACAACAGTGTATCTTTGTCATCTATATTAAAACTCAAAGGTGACTGACTGACATAGTGATCTATCAACGCACAGCCCAAACCACTGGACGGATCGGGCTGAAATTTGGCATGCAGGTAGATGTTATGACGTAGGCATCCGCTAAGAAAGGATTTTGATCAATTCTACCCCGAAGCGAAGCGAGGGCGGGCCACTAGTTCTCTATACAGAATGAAAAGGACAGACTGATGTTAAATTTACTTTAAAGTTTAGAGAATCATGCCAGAATCGACATTAAAAGCACAATAAAATATAGAGAATCCTCGAAAATTACTTGCTAAACTTACCGCTATTGATCACAAGTTTAATCTATGGTAACTTAGACACTTAATTATGCTACCGCGGCCCTGATGGCCGTGTCGAATTCTTTCTAGCCTTTCTTAAGCTGGAAGGCAGTGCTATCGCTTCGCATTGTATGTAACTCATAATGTCAAATGAATACTTTTACAAGTATTAAACATTTGAAAGAAGAAATAGCGATTATAGTTATAATTTTTAATATTCAAGCATGTAACATGTGTTAAATCAGGCAGCAGGCGGGAATCGAACCCGCACCCATCGCTATCCGGGCGAATGCACTGACCATTATGCTCCCGCGACCCTGATGGTCGTGTCAAATTTGTTCTAGCCTCTCTTAAGCTGCAAGGCAGCGCCAGCTCTTCGCATTGATAGTAACCCGTAATGTCAAATGAATACTTTTAAAACCATTGAACATTTGAAAGAAGCAATATCAATTATAGTTATAATATTCTGCTGCCTAGTTCGCGTGGATTTTTTTCTAGTAATATTTTCTTTAGATTTGAACATCGAGCAGTTACATGCTTAAAAAAATATAATTAGACACCGCACCGTTACCTACCCTGACCCAATCCCCTACTCCGTGGAGCCCTGGAACCTTACTCATCACTCATCAAAAAGGGTACCATAAGTAGTGCACTTTAACACCACGGGCTTAAGAGCCCTTTCACATTTTTTGCAAAAAATCGTAATTTTTGAGCGCAGCGTTTACCCCCGTAGATTTTTTTTTTGATTATTTCCAATAAAAGTAAACAGTAGATTTATTCTTCCTATTGTAAGTTAATGTAGAATATTTGCAAATACTATTTTCCTTTTTTTGTACTGATCGTTCTATCGCGGCTAGTTTACAGAAAAAACGATAATATGCACAACTTCAAACGCTTGCATCTCTAAATAATGTTTAATAAATTAGATCAAGTTAATTACTACAACATCAGAAATATGTTTTTGTTGTAACATAATGTGTTAGAATATTGATTTTCCATCTCATTAACTATCAAAAAAAACATCTAACCTCCGAGAGTTTTCCCAAAAAATAATGCAGGTAAACAGAATTACTATCAAAAATTTTCATAAAACTAATCTACCATCAGTGAACTACTGAAATATGTATATATTTTTAAAATTAGTTCATTAATAATTATTTTATTAAACTCTAAACGTCACCCGTAAAATGCAATATAGTGCAAATCTACCTACGCGCCGATTAGTACGGTAGCGGTGCAATTTTGTAAAAGGGCTCTTAATGTGTCTTTTTTTTTAACTACAGACTCGTAGTGCCTATGAAAATTAAATTAACATTTTAGTCTGCATTCTCTTACTTGAGAACAACCTCGTTATAGTTGGGTACGTTAATGGCAACCCTGAGCACAGGATGCTAGCAATTTGCGAGCAGTTTAAAGGTTTATGCAACGGAGTGAACAAATGCATACGAAATGCGCCCTGCGCTCAACGGCGAATCTGAATTGCGTTCGGTGCGTGCCCCCCGACATGGAGGTGTTAAGAGGAGAGACGCGCAATGTTTTTTCCATTACAAATAGACTTGCAACGAATATTCGGTATTCGGCCTATTCGGCTGCTTTTATTATATTCGGCCGAATACCGAATATCTACATATTATTCGGCCAAAGGCACGTTAAGCCGTTGGTCCCGGCTGCATCTGCAGTCGTTAGCACCCACCAATCCGCATTGGGCCTGCGTGGTGGGTCATGGCCCAATCTCCCTATTCCATTCATAGGGAAGGCCTGTGCCCCAACAGTGGGGACATTAATAGGCTGATGATGATGATGATGAAAAATAAAGTGTCAATTGTTAGTATCTGTATTTAGAATGAATATTGGTAGGGGTTTTTATTATTTTTACAGAAAAAATATTCACAATTTTACTTAAAACCCACGAAAAACTATTCACAATTTTCTCATCTATTCTCACGTGACCGTAAACGCCTGGCATTGGTGGAGACTAGAATGACGTCACACGCTAGTAAACTTCCGGTTAAAGTGACATTCTTTTGACGTTTTAATGACAGTCGTGTGACGTCACATACCAATAAGACGCCATATTGTCCAGTGAAACGATTTCGCGGCAACTTGAAAATGAAGTTTCGATTTAGTTATTTTCACTGAAATACATAACAGAAAGATGAATATCCACTTTTGATGAACCCCATAAACTTTTGTAAATAACGAGTGAACGTTTCCTTAAACTTGTCAAATGTCCTATTTCAGCGTGGTAAGCCCTGATTTCCACTCAGTGTTATCGTTGGGACATCATGTACTTACATATATAGTTACATGCCTTCCTTCCAATGTTAAAAAGCCGTTACTTGTCGCTACAAATCAATTGAATTTGAAGAGCCATATCATGTTTTTTCAGCTGGCAGTGAATATAAGAGTTGCATTCCTGAAAGATCAATCTATTATTTCTCCAAGCATTTGCTAATTATGGTAAAACCTGTTTTCTTGACGAACGGAAAGCTTTAATTTCCTCCAAATTATTGTTAGCGGTACGAAGTTCGCCTGGTCGGTCAGTACGTTACTTAATAAAATTCAACATTCCATCAAATATATACAGTATCCATTCTTGGTCAAATCAAACACTCTTGAGACATCTGGAAAAGTCCTAGAGCTAGAAAACTGCCCTATCAAATGAAAAAGATATCAAGCGGTTTACTTATATAATCGTTTACCCAACTATTTGAAATTAATAATTGTACAAAATAATTCATTTCGTAATCGTTTAAAAACCTCCTTATTGGATTTTTTTTTTATAGTGTTGAGGAATTTGTTACACATAGGTTATAAGTTTGACATTTTGCAATGTTGTTGATTATTTATAAAAAAAGTGATATTTTTATTATTGACATTGATATTTTTACTAATTACATAGTCAGATTATAATT